CAACAGATATAATACTGCGGTAATGAATGGAAACAGGATAACTGATGCAGCCTAATCCTCCTCCACCCACAAATAGTGTGGTTCCAGTGGTAGGGCTTTAACGGTGACGGAGTGGGCATGTAAGACTTTATAAGCAGCTTAATCCTGCTGATCTAACGGCGCACTCTGCCGTGCCCTATGTGGTCATTTTGTTTACTTTGCTTACTCAGTATACTAGTAGGTGCACCACTACAGCAAAACCAGTTCAGACCCCATCCTCATATACTCGAAATCCCTGAGATCGGGTAGGCGTGGCTGCATGCTTCAACTTAACCTGAAGGAGTCTATGCTTCTGGTGAGATATTTTCATCTTGACACAATTGTTGTCGTGTCTCTGTCCAACACAGAACAAGATGACAGTTGTCCCAGACTGGAATATTCCACGAGTAACCAGTTCCGTGCCATGTTCAAATGCCACGCCTACTTTGGCACAAGGAGGATGTAGGTTCGAAGTGGCGCATTTGATAATGAAAATGTACCCGGCTGAAGAGGTCGTCGGAGCGCGGAATTACGAAACCGTCTTCGCATTATCTGCCTTGCGGACTCTGCCCAGAAAGACAGTTACGAGCTTTTTTTGGGGGAGAATCACTACAAATTGGCGGCGTAAGGCTATCGAGATCGTGGCAGCATGGCCGAGTGGATACGTCGTAGGGCTCACGGATGCGTGGTCGAGGGTTTGAATCCTTGATGCGTGTGCTCTTTTGCATTTTTTCGAAAGTGGCCCCTGTGCACTTCAAAGCCATTTTGCATAACACTTGTCCATGATAACGTCGTGATGTAATGATTCTGAACTGATGGAGCCATTGCGAACCATTCAATAGAAATCACTTCTGGCTGTTGTCTTCCTCTTTCTTTGATTTGAAGAGCATATACAAAGTGCAAAAGAAATTTGCACTCAAAGATATTTATGAATTTAATTCTTCAAATCGCACATGCAGCGGAAAGTAATCACGAAGTGTGCAGCGTGAGCATGATTATAGTGGGGAAAATGCATCCATATTGAAGTGCGTTGATGAGTGGAATATCTATGCGGAGATCGCGAATGGCGAATTTCACCACTCACATAATGTTGAATTATGTCTATCTCGAAGAGTTTTCGTATCTGCTGGAAGTTTTCGGCTCGTATGACAATCTTTTCAGCCGGAGGTGATCTCCATGAAATCGTTCGCAATGGCTCCATCAGTTCAGAATCATTACATCACGACATTATCATGGACAAGTGTTATGCAAAATAGCTTTGAAGTGCACAGGGACCACTTTCGAAAAAATGCAAAAGAGCACATGCATCAAGGATTCAAACCTCGACCACGCATCCGTGAGCCCTACCGACGTATCGCTCTCGGCCAATCCCCCACGATTTGATTAACACTTACGCCGCCAATTCGTAGTGATTGCTCCCGGTAAAGAAAAAGCTCCGTAACTTCTTTCTGGGAGGTCCGCAGCAGATATGGAAGACGGTTTCGTAATTCCCGTCCGAAGACCTTTCAGCCGGTATACATTTCATTTCAAATGGCCACTTCGACCTACCATCCTTCCCTTGATCAGCGAATAGGGAGTATAGTGGCGAGTAATCATCCTAGCGACTATACCTTAGAGAAGGAACCTTTGCCAATCGACTTCCACGGGGGGGGGGGGGGGGGAGGAGAGGGCGTTCCGCACTTTCACTAGTCCCTTCTGCTAGTTCATGTTAGCTAACAGGTCTCACTTAGATAACACCTGTGAACTCTGTGAAGCTATACAAGTGAATCACCTTAGCAACCGAATTTCACAGGTCTTCACAAGGTTGTCTGTACAAGTTTCGTTGAATTCTTTTGCATCCCCGATGAGCTTGCACTGACTTGTAATTTATTCTCAAGGATGCTGCGTCCAAAGCTAAAGAACATGAGGAAGCTCGAAAATTTTATTATCAACAAATATATCACAGACTTCACGCGATAACGAAGAAGAATTAAAAAGAGGAAATCTCACATGATATCAGTGAACAGGGACCTGTTTATGAGCTAAATACAAAAACACTATGCTTGACAAAGCAGAGATCAAAAATATCACATCGAACCATCGATGATAAAAGTTGAATTGGAGATCGCCCAACACTTCCGTTATGATTTTCCTAAAAAAACGAATGTAAAGCAATACAACATGTTGTACACACGCAAGCTTGTTCTAGGTGTCGGTCGAGTGAAAATCAGTTTTTTTTTTCAACGTAAAAACCACAGAGAGACTACATTTCCTTATAGTCTCCTACTTTCATGTTTTGTAGGTTCTTTCCATGTTCCCAAGCCATTCTTGTGAAATAATGTTGTATGGGGGCGGAGAGGAGACATGTGAGCGTATCTCTGAGCCGCAGCACTGCGTGCACTTACAGTTTCCCAACTAGCCGATGGTGAGTAGACAGGCAGACAACATTGAATTGACCGTATACGGATGCTGGAGTACAGTCAGCGCTCTATAATCCCTGCACTGAGGCTTTCTATCTCTTGACATGGCACAAGACCATGCCCTTCAAAGTTATATTCACTCCACTGCGCTACAAAAGTTCATGCCACGAAATAGTGTTACATTTTGTTTTGGGGGAGGGGTAGGGGGCCACTGTAACTGCCATATCCTCCGCCCCTGAATCATAATAAAGTGCACTTTAGCGCAGGTGCCTCCTACACTGTGGCCAAAAAACGTTGGAAAATGCGTTATTAAAGAGGAAACCACATGCAGAACCACCAATGTAGATTTCTCTGGAGGATTTTGCTGAATAAGTCTAGCCTGCACTTGATCTGTCCCGAGTCAAAGAGATCGAATAGAAAGAATCACCTGTACTGATGAGGCATATTCATCCGCATCAACAACACGCTTGAAACGAAGTACATACCCTGAATTCTTATTTTTGAAAACACAACCGGGAAACACCACTTTTTGTGGAGAACAAAAGCTTGGCTGCAGATTCACGCCAAAGAAAAAAAGTATACTAATCGTTCCTCCAATAATGCATTTCGAAGGTCCGAAGAAGTTCAAAATGTAATGTACGCACCATGATTTGAGCCAATAATAAAACAATGATGTTCGATGACCTCGAACTGGAAATCGCCAAAAAGAATTTCGTCAGTGTGATTAACAATCCTCTTATTGACGTGACTGCTATAACGCCAACTAGAAGGAAAGAGATATGCTGCGACCAGAACCGTACCTGAAAAAGGATATAAGGCTCCAGAGAATTCAGAAAAGTGAAACATTCACTAAATAGAGGTTAGAATGAAAGATTCAGGGAGAAATCATTCCAAGTCACAATCGGACAGACGGATACTCGTAACTGTTCGGCTTTCCTCCTCTGTACCTCCCTAAGAAGGAGAGGGGTTTTAAACTCCACCCATATCAGCGCTCATCCTGTTATCGCGGAATGTGTCAGGAAAATGGCACCGGTACTGATCCGATTATTTTTACTTCTACAATTGTTACGAAAAATAACTCAAAAAGACTCACGTCAAGATCGATTCCCATCCAATTCACACCAATTTCGATCCCTTTCGTCACAGGATCCACCTTTCCGACACGGTCAAACACAATGTTCACTGTACAGATAAATATCTTCCATATGCAGTAGACTGAGAAAAAGTGGCCCAACACATTGAAATATTTCCCCATCCACGTTTTACTATATTCAATGCGTTCCTAGAAAAAACATCACAGGTAACTGCGCGGTAACTGTGGCTTTTGAAGGCTATTGTGCTCATACTATGAAATCGGGGAGCCACTTAATGCACGAGACAGTGCTTCTATATGTCCATGTGATTCCTGTACCCCTTCCCCCTCGCCGAAGCGATCGAATACGCAGTTCGTCTCGGAACTCGATTTGTGATTTGTCTCCTGAACAGTGGCCGTAATGATAGCTCCAGCTCCGCTTGGCACTACTTTAGCCCTGTCATGCAATCGAATAGTCCAAAGTAGAAACATAATTTGCTTGTCAAGAGCTTTCCTAATGTATTGTAAAATGAGACAGAGTAACAGTATTGTTCGCTGCAATGGTGCGGCGCCAAACTCGTTTTCACCCCTTGTTGGAGCGGGTAAGCAACAATACTGCATCATGTCGTCCGTGTTGTTTTATTAGTCTTTTCTCACCGATTATTGTCGCTCACCCGCTTCAACCACTAAGGGGATCGGTTTGGGGAGGGTACCCACCCCACCCAAACACGCCGTTCACCCGAAGCGAACAATACTGTTAACGAGAAATTCACAAAGCATCGCTGACTAAATGAATGAGTACCTTCATATTTCGTAGCTCAACAACCTCGAGGAATAGATATCGACTAAGTTCGTTAAGTGGAACAATTTCAGCGTTGAGCTGCCTAGAAGTCACAATAACACTTTTGAAGGTGTTTAGTGGTACAAAAAAATAACAGCAACAAAACTGAGATAATGCAGCTCACCTTATTTGATCACTCAAGGTGCCACCAGATGCAGCACTTGCTACTGTTCCCCATATTCTATGCAAGAGACCCGTGTTTTCATCCTTTCCTGGAAAGAGGGATTCCCATCTATGAACTCGTGCGATCATTCAAATCACGTGACAAATTACAATGAAAACCTCGCGAGAATGCGCTAAGAGCAAGTTCTCTCTCATATTGCGCCACCTTCCGCTTTTTGATGACGATCATTCTCCATGGTTTGCATTAACTTCCTTTCCATTTGAGAGATCGCATGCTGGTCAACCTGAAACGCTTACGAAACTGAGCGAGGAATTTTCTGAACCGATTTAAGTAAAGATGTTGGCGCTGCTCGGCTTGAAGGGGACATTCTTTACTTTCGCTAGTCCGTTTTGTTGGTTCATAACTAACAGATATCACTTGGGTTACACCTGAAAACTCGTGAGAAAACTCTGGATTGTTCGAGTGAGTCATTTCGGTCACACCAACGCACAGGTCTTCACAGCGTGACCTGTAGATAGCTGAGCATCATTTGATGCCCCCATCAAGCCGAACTATGCCAAAACGTCTAACTGAAGACATCACCTTCCTCATAAATACTGTCATGTAGACGTAAGGCGCATTCACCGCACCAAATCCGGACAGGACTGCCATCACTGTGACGCCAATCACACCAATTCGGGATATTGCTTGCTCAATGGTGAAAATTCCTAGGCAAGGAAGCGATACAGCAGAAAGACATGATTAACAGCGGGTTCATAATATAGCAATGTAAGCATACCATGTTTGGCACTCAGGATAGGGAAGGGATCACCGATTTTCCAGAAAAAGTAGATAAAAACAATCCACAGGAAAATCGTTAACGGTGTGAGAAGCTGCTGCCTTACTTAAAATTGCGAGTAAAGACAACATGTTTACTAGTTCAAAAACCCTTCCCGTCAAAGATCATGAAGAAACCTACTGAAGGATATGCTCTTCAAGAGAGTATAGGCCATATAGAGGGGAAGGGCAACAATCAAAGTGATGAGAATCGCAGAAAGGCATAATCTCCATGAGGCGAAACGGGATCTGAAATTGACTGCAATAGTGCCTAAAAGGAGTCTGCACTTACCAAAAATTCAATCAAAAACACAAGAAGACGGAAACACTTACTCTAAATCCATCACGTCCATGATTTCGAAAATAATAAGCTCAAACATTGTACAAGATAATGCGAAGGTTATAGAGAAAACAAGCTGGACAACTCTGAAAGCACGATCGTTACGTTCACACTATTCCCCTCGCCAACCACGCACTCATGCTTCATATAGGAATGAAAAGTGATGGTTTGATGCTAAAAAATAGGAAGATCCTTTCTTAAGGAGAAACATGGATAAAGAATGTTTTGTCGCTATGATCCCAACTCAACTTCCACCAGGTCTGTCAGTGAGGGTAGAACTGCTCAAGATTACTGTTACTTCACAAAATTTGACAGGGCTCTTCACGGTGGTGTCGTGTGGCTACTACGAACTTTGCCTGGTATCATTTCGTGGCTTGACAAGATTTCACGGGCTTCGCTTAATGGCCCGACGCGTCGATGGGAAGAAGCGAACAAGCAAATGTCAACGGAGTTCTTATGAGAGAAGCCTAGAGGCCAACCTTTCTGGAATGCGCCATGCATTCCATATGGGGGAAACTAGAGATTCCAAAAAGGCATTGGGTATACACTACGTCCAAAGGATGAAGGAGAGCGGGAGATTCTTAAGCCCCCTTTCTTCTCTAAAACAGGCCACTAGAAAGTCATCAAAAGTCAAAACGTTGTTAAAAATAATAATCACATAGAGCTAAATGGTCAAGATTGACAACTAAGCATACTCACCTATTACGGACTTCATAATTCTTGAAAAGCTGCTTCATAAAGAATAACCATCCGCATACAAAGAATAAGACCTGTAAGTCTCACCGGCTACAATATCGCACTACGTTCCGTTCGTTACAAATGCTGTCCGCTGCGGATGACAGGGCGTGCCCATCAGCCCAATTCGTTCTCCCCAGTTGGTGAAGCGAGTAAGCGTCAACGTAGAAAAGTACTGATACGAACGATGTGGGACGGTCTTGTCGCTTGCTCGCTTCAGCAACTAGTGGAAACAGATGGCCCCGTGCCAAACCCATCCCTCGCGACAAGCCCCGTCCTCCGCAGCGAACAAGGCCTATGAGCCATGATCTCACCTGGGAAACCACCATAACCCCTGCATCCCATGCATGCATTTCTACCTCTCCTAAATTATTCGTCTGGAAAGGTAAAGAAAGTGAATAATTGTAAGTAAAAAGAAACGAAAACGTGTTTTCAACAGTACCGCAGTCAAAAGCTTCTACAAATCATAAATATTTATATATAAATACACTTCTGTACAGATACACTCCCTTCACCATCATATATGACCTGGTTACACCTTATTTATAGAAGAGGTTAATCTAAGACATAAAAGGCACACATAATAAAGAGAAATACATCATATATCACAACCAACCCAAAAACATTTGGTACAAGTGAAAAATCACGAATGAATGTGAAGTTAATAACAATATATTCAGATTAGAGAAACATGACCAAGGGGGTACTGCGACCGAGATATGCGAGACTTTGAGAACTACAGGCAGTAAGGGTACAACTAGCAAGGGTAGGAGCAGTAAAACTATTCACACCGGTTACCTGTGAAAAAGAAATGCGAACATTGGATTGGACGTGGAGTCAATCCTCTATAAAAGTTGAAAATTTAGTTTTCTAATCAAATTATTTGAGCTTATTAATGGCAAGGGGACTGAAAGCGCATTTAAGGTACGGCTTAGGGCACGCCGGACACAGGGAATCCCAGCAAGGTGTCCCATCTGGTCATTTTGGTGAGGAAGGGCCCGTGGTTGCCTTTGTGAGAAATGTTTTTAGTTCTTGATTTTTTTTCTTGGTTTCCCGTTTCTTAAGGTAGGGTGAAGAAGTCGCACCAAAGAGACGAGAAAATTTCGAGGAGGCGCTTATCCTATGGCCTTTTTTAATGGAGAGGACCTGCCCTTGCACGGCTACAACACTGCATCATAAATGGGAAATCTTTTCGTGGCTTCCCTGCGATTTCCACTCTCAAACATTCCAGCAAACCCTTGCGGATCGTTATTCCATTCCTTGACCTTTTCTTTAGCGCGTGCGCGCTGCTGCTTGCTTCACCACCCCGTAATCATCCATGTGAGATGTTTTATGACTTAGCTGAAAATCTAGCTAAGTATATAGTATATAAGCTGAAATCTGCAAAGTATATAGTATATACGGCTGCAAATATAAGGGATTAGCCTGCCTGTTGAGGCATACAGCGAATTTTGAAAGCGGAATAATGGGGGTTACTCCATACCCCAGATGTGGAGGGGGCGTGGTTGCGTACTTCATTTGAACGTGCCGGCAGCTGCACTAGCGGTGAGCAGGATAACAGTTGTCTCAAAATGAATAAGACGCCCTCGAAAACGCAAAAATACGTCATGGAGAATGCAGCCACGCCCTTCTTATCTTCCGGATATAAGGATGTAGCATTATGCAATATTTGGCAGAGCACTCAGCTGGGAATTATGCGAGCTATGCAAGAAATTTTAGGCACGAGAGGATTTCCATCACTGTACTCGGCGACAGCATTCCTTTGCGGAGTGTAACTAAGAAAGTCCTCAACAAAAGAGCCTTTTTTTCTGGATATGAAAATCTCGGGATTTACCTCGCCCATGTTTGAAATTAGTTTGAAACCAACGACCAGGATTGCTGGGAAGGCAGAGCTAGGAAACCATGTCGTGCCTTTAATAAGGGAAGAGTCATCCATAGAACCCACCAAACTTCAGCTATAAATCCCTCACTAACATAGCAGCCTTGCTACAGATGGCTGGCGGATTACAACTGCTAACCAAAAAATGCTGACTTATAAATGCCGAATTCTACTAGAAAAATCTCATAACAAAAAATTGTATACTGCGACCAAAGTTTTAAATGAAAGCTTACGGAGCACCACTACAGGAAACCTCAATTCGGGTCCACATCCTATTTGAGCGCCATTTAACTGGCCTTCTATTGAGACAAAACGTGCAGATCGGAGAAGAATGCTTTGAACATGGAAACCATTAAGATGAAATGATTAACAGAAAGAAAAAAGAAAAAAAAGAAGCGGTGCTCGAACAAGTTACACAAGTGGTAGGTTTCACTCTTCCACAGCAGCCGTCTCTTTTTGAGCGCCCTCATCTGCTTTCTTCAGAAGACCGCTAGATGAATGACTGCTGCCTATTTGCAGACCTCGTTTAGATGGGACCGGTTTGACGTTGTCTGCCGCAACTTCTACCTAAAAACGAAAGGATTTCAGAGTCTAAAACCAATAGCGGCGCAGTTCATGTTGATGACGACGTTTCGCTGCTTCCCTTCAAAATCGCCTATGCCTCCAAAGGGGGCCCTGTAGATTCCTGCAAAGCTATGCAATAGCACGAACTTGGTTTATAATCAACAAGAGTCCACGACTATTACCAATGGAAGAGGCGTAAGTTAACAGGAACTGAAGAAAGAAACTAGCGAATGTGAGATGAATCGAACGTTGCCCAAAAAACCTGATAAGGCGATTGTGATTGAAGCACCTTACCTCGGTCTCTTCTGGAGTCCCATAACACTGGGGACTAGTACTCCTTGAAGAAACATTTGATAGCACAGGAGTTTCTTCTTGTGGCACGACCTTAACAGATTTCCTGCTCCAGGAAAAAACAGGATAGAGAAATAAACTATATGCCTACATCTTTGGGGAGGTATCGCTTCATTTCGATTCCTTCACTGGTCTCCTCCAGCTCGCCAACACTGTCGATTGTAACAATCTGCAACGAAAGCAGGAAAATGCCGAAACAGTAGAAGAAAGCAACGGCAGGCACTACTCTGATATAGGTAAGCACTGCGGCGTGGATTTACGCTGTATGTCCAGGGGTTGAGAAGATATATCCGAGTGTGGATGCGTACCCGATTCGGAAAAGGGGTAGGATGTGTTTTTTCGCGGGATCTTTCCGTTTCTGTCAGCTGTCATACTGTCTTAAGCTGGACAAACACACGAATGCAATTGTAGCAAACCGAAAATAGCGACCAGAAGCGCGTTCCATGAAGTGCGCAGCCACGCCCTGCTCATCTCCAAGATATGGAATGTACGTGCACGGCATTCACACCACGAATTAACTGAGTAAGTAAAGCAGCACTAGTCAAAGTAGCAACTATCTAACTCAGATCTTACTCAGCAAGATATTCAAAAAAGTGGGGTAGAGTGCAATGGTTTTGGAAAACAATAAAATTTCATGAGAACCTCACCTGACTGATGATATTACTTGCACGACTTCGTTCTCGAGAGTGACCTTTCTTTGCTGAAGAAGCCTCCGACGGATTTTTGCCGCCTTGTTCAATATTTCCATAAGAGTGGTGGTTTAAAGGACCATTTAGGCCCTCCACTAAGGTTACTGTTTCATAACTAAAACAGAATAAAATCAGAAATGAACATTAGCTCCAGGGACACTGCAATACTTCCAACTCACCCAAGATTACGGGTTTGTCGTCGGGCACGAAGCTGTATCAGCGCACGGAATGGAGAGCGACAAATGGGGCAATTATTAAGCTGTAAAAATGAAATTTTCTTTCCAGTGAATAATTTACCAAACTAGTAAAGAACCTTGTATCTCAATGTATCCGCACAATTATTACATATACAGAGATGACGGCATGGTAATATCACAGTGTCACGAATGTCACTCATACAAATTATGCACTCAAGTCCACATTCGTCAGCATTTCCATCAGGCGCTAGCTCTTTGTTTTCAATGCCAAACATTTCCTGTTAAATAAAGAGAGTAACCAAAGAAAATTTAGGCGCTGATGACCTTGGGAGGGGCACACCTGTAAGCTTTTTCAGCTGCTTATCGTTGTCTTTTCACTATCATGTCTTACCCTGCAAGTCCTAATTTCTTGTCAAGCAACCTGTAAACTCTTGTCAAACTTGGAAAAAGGGGACGGTCAATGGTGAGCCACTACTCTATTTTATTCGAGTCTTGTCTAGTCATTTGACAAGAGTTTCCAAGAAGTTCGACAGGTGTGAATAAGGATTACAGGGTGTTGAGAAGGTTGTTGCCCGGTGTCCACACGCAATCATTACAGGATTTGGTATGCTGATATGCGCTTACAGGTATGCCCCCCCCCTTCAGTAATCAGCGCCAAAATTTAATTCTAGAACTTAATACAGTTTTTGTAAGAAAGTCGAACTGTTGGACAAAAGAAACAGCTTACTTGAAGAAGATATATAACTCCATCACATGCGATTTTTTGTCGTAGAGGTTTCAAAATCAGCGCATGACTGCTATCGTTGGCAACCTTGAATGGCATGAAGAAAATTAATTCATAAAATTTGTATAGTGCAACAAGCAGACAACTCACATCGACTGTACACATTGTGCTTTGCATTTGTGGTCGGTCGATACCATCGGTTTGAATTACTACTACGACTGGGAAATAAAGTCCACCAGAATAGGTCAGCTGTAAAGCAACTTTTATATTTCAGTAATTTTTCTTAAGATCAAGTAGGACTAGGTAGGACAATTTATAAACCTAAGGTTCTTTCTAGGACTGAAAAGGACCGGCGACGGTTGAACTGCGCTGTTCTGATCAACCTGACTGCGAGCCAGGAAAACTCGCCTTTCAATGGCCAGGAACATCAAAAAACTTGCTCTAACCTTTCGTCATAACAAAGCAACCCCAATACCATCCCATCCCCTCCTTCGAGAAAATATCACGTCGTCGAGGATCAAGGATCACCCAGGGATCACGCACCCAGCCGGTTGCAAGACGCAGATGATGAACACTTTCCCTCTCTCCTGCCTCTCCCCCTCCCCCCACCGGACACCATAGACACCTTAATCCTTCACCTCAGGCAGCAATCCCAATACAACGCCACCCCCCCCTCCTGACTCACATACGACCCCGACATCGCTCGTCTAGCATTTCGAGGTCAGGGCTCCTGGACTTCGCTCTACCTAAGGAAGGGATAACCCGCGCCTTATAGGTGACCTTCCTGGTCAGCACTTCAATCGCTCAAATTAGTACACATTTCAATCAACTCACGTCAGCCAAGTCCCATTTTGATGGATCAAAAGTGAAATTGTTGAATATCTGTTCGGAACCGGTATCAAAATGGAAGCGATCCGAACACGACACTCGTTTATTACGGTAAGCAAATCTGAAAATGCTCATGAATTCGAAAATGAGCAATTAAAATAATGACCCTTGAGAAAAAAGAAAGAATCACGTACTGAATCTCTCCATCCTGATAGAGCTCCCTAGCATTAAAATGAATTTGAACAAAACACGAACAATCAGCATCTAATATAAACTCCAAGCGATAAAGACTTGTGTCACTTTGTGAACCATTTTCGTCCTTTATCCTGAAAAACTGCAACTTGCCAGACATGCTGAGGATCTTCTTCCAGGGATATGAATAGGTTCCATGGGGAAAAGGTATATTTTCATACAAAAGAGCAGGAAAGAACAAAAATTTTTCATACCTTACAAACTTCACCGACTCTTTCCTTATGTTAATAAGCAGATGAAGCGGATGCACTTCATCACTACCAAGAGGAGAAGCGTAGGGAAACTACAACGAAATAGTTATCCAGGTAAATGTTAGTCCAGCAATAAGGATACAAATGAAATCAGCATGAAAAATGTGGCCAATTTCAGGACGCTTCGGCCTTTTGGAAAAAGGTGGATCTTCGTAAACGAGTTGCGCACGGGGTCATAGCGAAGGGTGGAAATTGAAGAAGGGGTCGTATTCTGCAAAAAAGTCTACAACGAGGTGCCGCTCGTCGTACCGGCCTCTTCAAAAAGGGAATGGCAGCTCATGGTGTGTTTCTAGGCAGCATCCTTGATTACGGGTCTCAGCTTTCATAAATGACGCGCCAACACAAGTTCTTGTGTGGATTTACACTTTATCAATTGCGCAATTGATTAGGTGGCTTGGGGGGGGGGAGGGAAGGGGCATTTCCCACTATAGCTACTTCCCATCGTGTTCATTGCTTTACAGGATCTGACGGGTAATCTTTCAAGAGAGCTGACAAGTAGTTTCTCAAAAGTTCGGATGGACTACACTTTCATGCCTTCACAAGATGTAATAAACCTTTACTTGATGGTTCGACACGGCTATGGGAAGAAGCGAAAGGGCAAAAACTTTCCCCTGCCCTCACCCCTCCAAGCCGAATGCGCTGATTAGCTATCACCTCATCTCATTTTGAGACATGACGCAGCATACACGTGCGGTCTAATCAAATGCATCGACGGGTTATACATCAAGAATATAGGGCGAATAACTGGTTTCTCTCTTCAACAGAGCAAGTCTTACCGGAACTGATCGACTTCCTAGAAGATCTAAGTCGCTGTTTTCACCAAACAAGAAAGCTTCTGGCTTCGCTAGGTCAAATCGTCCACCACACATTAGAAAATGGGATCCAAAGTACGACCCTGAAACAGTGACAGTATAGCAAGGCAGAATCAGAGATGCTGCAGTTGAGTTCCACGCGCCGGCGCAGGATAAGGGATATCTTCCTCCCCCAGATCAGGTTCAGTAGAGCGCAGACGATCAGTGTCCGTACGCTCGCTATCCTTTGGGAGCGAGCGTACGGACCCTGGTCCTCTGCGCTCCCGTCAACAGAAGTTTCGATTGAACTAAAGATGAGTTAACAGCGGAATAAACAAAAAATATCAATTGGGAGGTTGAGAGTACCTGCTGCATTAGCAAATGTTAGCTGTTGCTCGGGATCCTCATCATCGCCAGGACGAAGATTTGCAGATGGTCTCGTAAACAGTCCTGCAAACCTACTTGCTACCTGGCCCATAAGGGAGCCCTGAACAAGTTTCAATTAATCAGTAAATCCACAGCTTTACGAGGGTAACATTGGCCCTAATCGTTGAAATGTGATTAAAGTGCGTCAAAGGTCTATTCTTTAAATTGCCTATGTAGAGCAGCTCAATTATTTTCGTTTTTAGAGCATAAGATTAATTTCCATAAAAAGATTCAGCTAAAATATGAGTCAAACCACATTTACACGGATAATATGAATGAATACATACTAATAATAAGTTTACTCGCTGCATCGAAAGAGCAGTAAAATGAGCAATCGAGGAAGAGTCTATGAAAGAAGAAAGAAGAAAGAAAGATAACCTCTAACAAGCGCATGATAATGAGGTCTGTATCGAGCGACATGGACTAGAAAGGCTGGCGCAAGTTATGGATTACGGTGGAGCACTATTTGTGTGGCCTGCAAAACATTTGAATTCACGCCTCACTTCATTTATTGTTTACTTCAGAACTTGGGGAATTGAGGCTGTTCCAGGCTGCTGTCGTACCATTAGGTGTCAGTAAACAAACTCATCTAAGCAAGTGC